AGAAGAAGTCTGTTACCGTGCGATTGTCCTGCTTCAAAGAGTAAATTTCTTGTTGCAGCTCTGAAATTCGAACCAGATCACCTTGTGCGAATCTTTTTTTCAAATCGTTCCAAACATCGATAGCATTTTCCATGAAAACAATTGATTGACCTATCGAATCAGATACAGAACGCATGATCCACGAATGTACAAGCATATTGCAACGAGTCCAAGCGCGAAAGGTTGGATCGAACGAATCAGTAGGAATTTGAATCGTGCCATCCACAAAATCAAATTTCATCTTTCCACCGAGTGCGTGATGCATCGATCTTGCCCAGCTATGGTAGTTAGAACCATTGAGAACAGGAGTAATGGAGATCGAAGAAGGACCATCACTAGGATGCACATAATATGGGCTGGTAGGGTCAAGAATTGGATCGAGAGAAGATGAAGCGGAAGCAGTATTACGCGGAGGAGCCATGGATGTACAGGCTCAATGATACCATGTTGAAGTTATTTTCATAGAAGCCATGATTGAATCTTTGAAGAAGAAGAAGAAAGAATAACAGAATTGTAACGGAAAATGTAACAAAGAGAATAGAGAAAGATAAGATTGACCTCAAAATGTATTGGATTCTATTATTTCATTTTGGATAAGAGTACAAGTGGCAATACAATGAATATTTATACACAGCTATATAGATGTAATATTAGATCTAATAACAGCCCTTAGATCTAATTAATCTAAAACCACTAATACTTCAACAAGAATGTATGTAATGTGTCCGTTTCTCGTCCATAAAGTACGGTATAAATATATATCCAATAATTTTATAGAATATCTCATCCTCATATAACACCAATATCAGAAGCAAATCCCCCTAAACCAGTTCATCAAAATATACTAAAAGAGGAATAGATTAGGACTAATCATATTGGAGATTTATTGTCTGTATTGTTGCTACTGGAAAAAGATGACATAGCTACAAGATAATTTCCGAAAGGCATTCATGAGAAGGTCATTTTACATGAAATATTATCAAATTCCCTCTATATATAGGACTTTGCATAGTTCAAACAATACAAATAAATTTTAAAGAAAAATAGTTTTTACATTTCACTATATGACACTTTAAAAACAAACAAACAAACAAACCGGCAGGACCATATCCCTTACAAATATTATTGATTTTAGTAAAGATAGTAAAAAAAATCATCACACATTTTAAGTTATATATTATTTACATATTTACTACATATCATATCATGCCTATTGATATCATTTATATACTAAGCTAAGAAACAACACATAAGAATCCATCATGTCAACAAAATAGCTTTCTTTAACCAGTATTGCTGAAACCTTTGCCTCGAGTACTCCTTGTACTCAAAATCGATTGTATTGACATAACTCTGCAACACACAAAACAACACAACATTTTGGCTTTAGCACACTGAAGTGTGGTGTTCATGTCATATGTTTTTTTATGTCAGTGTCCTTATTGTGCCTTGTGTCGTATGCTTTTTATATTAAAAGTGTCGATGTGTCTATGTCCCTGTTGTATTTGGTGTCTGTGTCATATGCTTTTTATATTAGAAGTGTCAACGTGTCTATGTCCCTATTGTGCCTGGTGTCTCTATTGTGTGTCGATGTGTTTGTGTCCCTATGTGTGTGAATGTATATGTGTGTCTCTATTGTGTGTCGATGTGTCTAGTGTCCCTAATGTGTCTCGTGTGTGGTAGAGTCCATGCTTTATAGTTTTAGAGCAACCATAAAAATGAAGAAAAATTGCTTACTGAAATAAGTCCCCATAAGCCCCAAAATAGATGGTTTGCAAGAGTATACTTCTCTACAAGATTCACTAACTGCTCTACTTCACCTTCACTTGGTTTTTCCCCTGTCAACAAGTTTAGTCAATTTAGAGAGTGCATATGCAATTAGAAATAATCAGCTTATATGCTATTTTTAGTGACATTAATGTCCATTTTACAACCGTCTCCAAAGAGATTTGCAATTTGCAATTCATCCTTCAGTATCTATTGTTGGTGCACAAGGTTATGAAGAACAAAAGGAATATATATTTAAGAGAGCAAAGATAATGACGATTGTAAAAGCTGCAAGAGGAATAATGATGTTGTTGTGACATTTACAACTAGTCTATTTATACACAATAAGAACGTCACATAGGCCCTAATAGAATAGACTTAATAACTAAGTTATCCAAAACAATTAGAAATACTAAAACACCCTTTAACACCTATAAAGCACAGACACAGAGACCAACATTGGACATGACAGTGACATATTGACACTAGTAATAATTTGAAAAATGAATAAATTGAACGTAATCTCAAGTGACGGTATCATGTTGGTGTCTGACACCAACACAAACACAAACACAAACACAAACACAAACACATGTTTTTTCAGAGGTGTCGGTGCTATAGAGTTCAGTACCACATAAAATCAACCAAAATATACAAAAACAAAAGGTTTAATCATTTGAGAATGTACCAATCGGATGTACTGTCAAAGTAAATTTGTTAATAAAATGGACTAACCTTCAGAACTCAGGTACGTATAGATAAACCTTCGACGTTCCTCGAGATCTGGTCCACCATACATAAATTGATGTCTCAGAAATATTTAGATTTCAAATTCTAATACAAAAATCTAATAGAGCCTGTAAAATGTATCAGCAATTCCTTTACCAGGATATTTAGTATAGTCAAGAATATGAGGCGTGTCAGTATGGTAATCTGCCGCCATTTCACAGAAATGGTTTGCAAAGTCATACGCAACAGGATTGTAACTCGAGTACTCGTAGTCCTATATCATTACAAGTTGAAAAGTAAGTTTACAAAAATGATACGACGGATGAAAAATGGTAGGCAGAAGCAAAATGGTGGAAGAGGTGTAAGTGCAACACGACACGAGGACTTTCTGAGATATTGCTAACCCTGCATTCGTAGTACTATTCTTGTTCAAAAACGCTTAACTATGAAATTCTGATCGAATTTGTTACATTTCTATTGGTATGACCGCACAATTAAGTGAGATAACTTACAATTAAAGTGATTGATTTAGTTTCTTCATCCATCATGATGTTACCATATTGTAGATCATTGTGACAAAAACCAATCTCTTGATACCCATCTGATAACAATTCCCTCAGCGAACTTAACTCAGCATCTAGATTGTCCAAGCCGAAAGTTTTGATATCCTTTTGGGAGCATAAACTTTTAGCATGATTAAGCCATTTCCTAGTAAAATATAGAGAGCATAAACAATTCTGTAAAGAAAATAAATTTTTTTGTTGAAGATTAGCATGATCTTTATTATTAATACCTCATTCTCTGCCAAATCTGAGCTTTCTTTGCACCAGGCATATGGAGATTGTGAAACTCCTTCATCTTAGATGCTATCAATGATGATATTTCAGGATCACGCAGGTCGGCAGCTGATAGTGTCTAAAAATCCAAAAACATGAAGAAAAAGAACATGTTATATACACTGTCATCTTATGTAGCACTGTATTTCAGATTGAAAGTGTGTCTGGTGTCTGACACGTACACGACTCTGACACATGTAATTACATTCAATTCAATTATTCTATTTTCTCCAATTATTGGCGTATTCGTGTCAATGTCCAGTGTTTGTGTCTGTGCTTCATAGCACTCATCGGTTTGACAAAATTCAAAATCTTCAATTTTCCACAAGTTTGAATTTATGAAAAGGAACATGAACTTGGATTTTCTCATGTCACTTGCAAATTACAACTGTCATGTTTTGATACAAAGACAAAAAAATGAATTATAATATTTGTAGGACCAATTTTTTTTGTCTCTTTCTAATAACTTATATGAAATATCAACAACCTCTATGATGTCATGCCAAGTTATGCTTAAATATTTCCAAGATGCTATTCAAAAAACTAAGCATTTTTTTATTAACTCTTTTTCTTGATGACTTTTATTTCTAACAAACATCATCCATTCAATTTAATATCTCAAAGATGCTTCTTAAATAATGTAAAATGTCACTTAAAGAAAATGCTAATCTTCCATTCCTCCAAAGTTAAAGAGATAGAATATTATAAAGTAAAGGGAAGAACCAAAGAAAAGCTTTTTGGACTAAAATGATAAAGCAAAATGGAAAAGAAAGATTTGAGACTTATAAATTACAAAAACCCTTCTAAAGTAATCATTGCAACAATTCATGATCATGATCAGATGGTAAGGGATCTCTTCCCTCTAAACCCCTTTACTATTAGAACTAATAGATCATCATAAGAACACAAGCATTTTTGTTTTGCCAAGAGATATTTCCTCTAATCAAAGGTCGTTTAAATCTAAATAAGAATATCTCTTTTAACAAGATTTGAAATGATGCTAATGACATACCCGGGCATGAATGAACTCTTCAACTCGACCGGTAGTGAACCGGCCAAGAAGGCGCGGCCCTTGTCCATTCTTGGACATACACTCAAAGGTTTGAATTTCATCATCCCTATTGAAGAAAACCTCGACGCCTTCACCGTATAATCGAACCAAAACCCTTCGGAGATGACCGTCACTTTTGGTCGGCCAATTCACCTCAAAAACCTCATTTGTCATTGCACCCTTTAAGGGATTGACCTCCACAACATTCACATCATCAATTACATCACCTAAATCCACAGCCACAGCTGCAAGAACTTTCATTATCTCTTCATGAGTTTCACATCCTTTCAACAATTCAAAGGTTTTTAAAGCCATCACAATCACTTTCTGCATGTGGATAAAAACAAAGAGAAATTGATTTAGTTATGATTTTACATGCAATAACATAAACAAGGTGAAATCAGAAAACCTTGATGACCCAATTGAGAAAATACCATCATAATTGATTATCTAATGATTATCCTTAATTAAGTTCAATTTTTTACATCAAAAGGTTTAAAAAGAACCCTTTTGAAGAAAAAGAAGAAAAATACAAAAAAGTTGAATTTTTTTGTGAGATTAAGTGAAGAAAGAAAAACTTACCTTTGAAGCAAAACAGAGATATGAAGAGAAAAAACAAGCAAAAGAGAAAACACTGCAATGAAGAATATATGCATTAGAATGGTATCATAAAATAGTTATTAAAAAAAATCATAATTAAGTAGTGATCAATAAAAAAATAAATAGAAGATTTGAGATTTGAGAGGAGACCCAGTAAGAGATAGAGAGAGTCAATGCAAGAAGTATTGAGAGAGTTTATAATAATATTGTGAAATGAATGAATGAATGAACAAGTCAAAGAAAATAGAGAGCTGGCAAAGAAGCAATCTTTGTCAACAATGTCAATAAAAAAACCTATCAACCAAGTGTATGTTATTATTATTATTATTATATTATTATTATTATTATTATTATTATTATTATTATTATTATTATTATTATTATTATTATTATTATTATTATTATTATTATTATTATTATTATTATTATTATTATTATTATTATTATTATTATTATTATTATTATTATTATTATTATTATTATTATTATTATTATTATTATTATTATTATTATTATTATTATTATTTTAATATTCATTGAATTGTGTGCATTAATTATACTTATTATATAGACGTCAATTTCTATACATGGATGGACCATCTAATATTTTTTATTTATTTTAAAATTGTTTAGAAAATAATATTTTGAAATAATATAATTAGATAATACGTTAAAAAAGTAGACCGGTGTAGAAAAAAATAATTTGTTAGTTCCACTAATATATATTAGTTAAATTAAATAGATATAAATTATTAATTTAAAATTTAATGTTTGACTATCATTTATTTTAGGAAAATGCTTATTAATAAAAAATGATAAAAGTAAAAAAAAACAAGAACTAAATTTTAACCTTCCATTCCTATCACTATCATATAATTTTTATTAAAAAAAAATTAAATTTAAAATTATCTTTTAAAATAATAATAAATATATATTCTTGTCTTCCTTATTCAAATCATTTTTATTATATAATATTATTCTTTATTATATATATATATATATATATATATATATATATATATATATATATATATATATATATATATATATATATATATATATATATATATATATATATATATATATATATATATATATATATATATATATATATATATATATATATATATATATATATATATATATATATATATATATATATATATATATATATATATATATATATATATATATATATATATATATATATATATATATATATATATATATATATATATATATATATATATATATATTATATATATATATATTATATAATATATATATATATATATATATATATATATATATATATATATATATATATTATATAATATATATATATATATATATATATATATATATATATATATATATATATATATATATATATATATATATATATATATATATATATATATATATATATATATATATATATATATATATATATATATATATATATATATATATATATATATATATTACACTATTTATATATTTCTATATGTATTTTTCAAAATTAATTTTATAAGATATTTAAATAATTAGAACTAATGGAGTATTAATGTAAAATTGTTTTATATTGATATTACATAAAAAATTAATTATATTAACATCAATAACAATAATAATAATAATAATAATAATAATAATAATAATAATAATAATAATAATAATAATAATAATAATAATAATAATAATAATAATAATATTAATAATAATAATAATAATAATAATAATATATCTTTAATTATATTACACTATGTATTTTTCAAAAATAATTTTATAACATATTTAATTAATTAATTAGTGGAATATTATTGTAAAATTGTTTTATTTTTGATATTACATAAAATTTAATTATATTAACATCAATAATAATAATAATAATAATAATAATAATAATAATAATAATAATAATAATAATAATAATAATAATAATAATAATAATAATAAATAAAATGATATTTAATATAGTATTAAAATATGTGGGAAGGGATATGGGCCCATGCTTCTTTCTTTTGAGTCTGTCTCTGTCTCTTATTATCTGTATGTGCAAATTAAATACGATAATTGATGTGGGGTCATAATTATAAATTTAAACTATTTAAGCACATAAACAAATATATATATAATAATAAATAATAAATATTTTTTATTTTTACTTTTTAATTTATGTGTATGTTTAAATAAATTAAATATCTGGTGGTTCCGAGTTCCGAGTTCCGACACAAGCATGTGAAAGAAAATTCAATACTTTATTTGCCGTGAGCATATTAAATAAAAATGTGGTTGGACTTTGATTTATTTATGTTTTTGGATTTATTTATGTTTTTGGATTTTTGTATATTTTATAGGGTGAGAGATTCTTGTGTGGGCTCAATTTTGGTAGAGATTCTCTTTTGGAGTTGAAAATGGTTTTTCTAATTTCTGAGGTGTCGAATCTTTCATTGATAGAACCTATTTATTAGTAGTTGATTATTATAATATAATTTTGAGAATATAAATACTATTAATTTGATTCAAATTATTCTATTTTGTTTTTTGACTTAATAGATAATGAAAGAAGAATAAAACCCCTCAAATTATTTTAATATTTTAATTTATTTACTCTCTTGAGGTTTGACTACTAATTTTTTTACTCACCTGTTTGAATAAAATGACACATTTATACTTGTAATATGTTTTGTTTTAAAATATACTTAATCAGTGAAATAATTATTGTATATATTTTGTTTTTTTTAAGAAACTAAAAATATTAACCACAAAGCAACTTTTCAAGTACAAAATATATTAAAAGATTACTCTAAAAAAAATATATCATCACGTGTTATATAAAGTCAATAAAAAATCCACCCTCTAATGTCTAATATGTATGGAGGCGGTTTATTCCTCTAAATCTAATATTCAATTTTAAAAGAAGACATGTGAGCCTTTAACTATTAAAAAGTATACACTTTTACCTTCTTACAAAGATTCATTAAAGAAAGACTCTTATTCTAAAATATTCGTTGGTTTCTCATTTTCCAAATTAACCAAGCAACGATTATCCAGATAATATGAAATACATGTCTATGTTCCTTTAACCGACCACCCAAGGACATAAGTTGGTTATAATACTCCTTACACTTTTCCTGAAAAACCGACTCAATCCCTAACCACCCAGATACTAACAACTAGAGTTTACTATAAAAATCACAACGGAAAAACATATGATCACGATTCTCATTTAAACCACATAACGATGGACAACTTTGCTCCTCTGCACCAATGATATGTCTTATAACCAGACCGTCTTTCGTTGCCAGCCTATTACGAAATAACCGTCAAACAAATAGATTAATCTTCAAAGGAATTGTTTTCATCCACCAAACCTGATAGTTACGAACCAGCTGATCATCCATGGTCATTGTCAAGAAGTGATTTGTGTTGCTCACATTATAATAATTTGAAGCATGTAATCTCCACACCCACGAATCCTCGACATTAACCAGCAAAACCACATAACGCGACAGCAAAATACACTCCCCACCATTTCTTCCTCCCACACAAACAACATTCTACGTCATCTCCTCGCTTCCCCATCCACCCCTGACCCTAAGGAATACATTTCTACTACAAAAACTTCTTTATCCACCGACAACTCAAAAAGCCTACTAAAACGATTCATCAACGTCCCTCCTGCCAACTAATGATCCTTCAAGAACAACGAGTTTACCCTGTTACCAACAACACGCTCAATATTATTGAGCAACCACCCTCTATTGACCATCACTGCCCCCTTGCCTAATCCTATTGACAGTCTGCCGCCATATAGACCCTCCAACACACTCATACCTCAACCAACCACCTTCCTCTCCATACCACTGAGCTAACACCCTAAACCAAAGACTTCTCCGCTCCTCCAACACCATTTCCCTAATAAAGCAATGTTAAATTCCCTCAATCTTCTCACACCTAACCCTCCAGATCTTAACGGTTGATCAGAACCTGCAAGATGGACAGATGATGATCTTCAGACAGGCTGGAAAGTCGAGAAGGAAAAAGAGGGATTGTACCTAAAAGGCACTTCGATGATCAAGTAAGTGTGAGAGCCAAAAGAGATACAAGCAAAATATTAGGGTTTTAGTGATAAATAGTCAATATTCAACCCCTGGCCCTCACACGAGTGAGGGTTTATATAGTGCCTCTGGCGCTTGGCCATTGGTCCATATTTTTTAGTCTAGATATGTGGGTTCGTAAAAATAAGTAACTGTCAAGATTTGGTTAAATCGGGCAGGTGCGCCTGTGTGATACGGTGGCAGAATCGACTGTTAATACTGGTTTGTGTTTTTTGTTCGCAAAATATCGCGGTAAGCAAGAGACTCCACCGACTTTTATTTTATCCAATCAGGAAAAGGAAAAAGAACAGAAAAAACCTTTTTCGAGATGTTTCTGAGTACGGGGGGTAGATTATAGAAAGGGAAGGTGTTAGCACCCTTTCTATCCATGGTTTTCCATGGGCTCTTAGGTACTTGCTCATTTTGAAAACTGCTTGTGTGTGCTTATTTTAAAAAAGTTTTGTTTTACTTCGTATTAACCCTTGTTTCTGTCCTCAAGAGTGTTACGAAGTTGTTTTTGAAAACTTTGTTTGGGAAAGTGTTGGTGTAAAAAAGTTTTTGTTTGTTTGAGCAAGTACCTAGGAACTAATCTACCTACTTGAAAAAGGTCTGTTCGTTTTCCTTTTAGACAATGCTATCCCATTATTGAGAAATAGGTAGCATCGTCGTTGGAGTTTTTTAGGGACATTCGAAGGGACAAGTACGATCACAAAAGCAATGTTAGGAAATGTTAGTAATTATCCTAAAGCCTTAAAGATCTTTTTCTGAGACAACATCCGAATGAGTCATTTTAGATCTTTCGGGGATAAAGGACAACCGCTAACAAACCCTATACTTCATGACCGTTTACCGAAGGCAACCGGAGTGGAATAAACCCTAGGAGTGAGCATGTGCGAGTGTAATTTTTAGTTAATTTATCTTTGCACATTTAGGGTTTTCTACTATTTTAATTTCTGTTTGTCTTTCCATACAATCCTATTAACATTCATCTAAGCAGTTTATAGTTTGCGGAAATAAAATGCGAGAAAGTTAAAGTCCTAGCTATTACAGGGCTTTTGCAGATACATAATTATTTTGGACTAAAAATAAAAATGCAGAATTGAAAATCCTAATTACTATTACAAACTCGGAGCAGTTACAATAATAATAAAAAGGAAATTAAAAGTGCATGGCAAATTAAATGCGAGAATAATTAGCAAAACCTAAAAAATCTAATTGAAAAATATTTAGGTTATTTTTTGAGAAAAATTAGATTATGTACAAAATTAAACCCTAATTCTAATTATTTTTAATTATGAAAAGAATTAAATTGCCCTAATTTTAATTAAACTAATTAATTAAGGAAATAAAATATTTTTATGAAAAAAAATGATTTTTGATGTTTTTTTTGTGATTTTTGATTTTATGATAAAAAATGATTTTTGTGTTATTTTGTGAAAAAAAAGATAATTAGTAAATAATAAAAAAGAATTAAAGTGAAAAGAAAAAGAATTGGTCCTGTGATGAAAGCTGAATGGGAGGTGTGACGCCTGAATTTCATTGAGTCCAAATCCTTTAGCCCAATCAGGCGTTTGGATCCAGTGCTAGCCACGTTTGAGGGTTCACCATGGTCTGCATGTGTTGAGTGTTAGATCTGGATATGATGAGATCTTGTGGTATGGTGATGGAAGTGCATGAGGAGCGCGCAGGGACCTGGAGCATTGGATCTGAAGACACAAATTAGTGAAAATTAACTTTGCAAAAGGGCTGGATCGAACCCACCCCCTTTTGGACTAAATTCTTATCATGCCCTGCCTTACCAACTGAACCAAGCGCGTTAATTGTTAACAAAATAATACAAAATAAATATAAGGCAAATAAAGATCTATGACCACATGTCAAAAACGCGCGCTGTGGGTTCCCAATGGTTTGAATGGACGAATCAGTGAGCACCACGCCATCACCTTCTTCAGGGATCCGTCGTTTTAGATGGGGAACTTTTACCTACAACATTTTTCCGTCACTATAGGTTGTAGTGACGGATTTTGTTCGTAACTAAAAACTTTCAAAATTCAAAAACGCAGCACAAGCAGAATAAATTGAAACCAAAGGCATGAATCAATTGCAAATCATCTCCTGAGCATGATAGTACCCCTAATTTTGTCCAATTTTGCCTGTATATAGAATTCCCAATTTGGGACCTCAAAACCCTAACAATGGCATCGTGCCATTCCTGCACTTAAACTTCAATCAAACCAATCAAAAATATTGCAAATATGATAGCAAGCATGGATATATGATCAAAACATGTTTATGATGGATAAATCATTGAAAACGAATCTTGAAAAAAGATGCAAACCGTGGCATTGTGAGGCGTGATTTCTGAAGGTTTTAAGGCTTGAGGATGATTGGAATGACTTCAGAAGATGTCCAAGAATGGATTGCTGGCCTTGGAATTGCTTGAAACGGCCTATAGAATCGAAACCGACCTACACTTTTTTGACAAAAAATTGAGACTTGTCCTCCTTCTTTCACGACCCCAATCCTCTTTTTTTGCCTTGAGAATGTTATGTCCTTATATTGGAATGAATTAGGTCAATAAAAACTAATCATATCTTTGTAAATTATGGAGATTTGATTTCATTCTTTGTCTTGTATGATTTGTTTCCAAAATAGACCAAATTAAGATCTTTTCCAATCAATTGGCTCTTGCATGAATTTTTTGATTTGGTAGTTGTCCATGGACTCATAATATGCTCATAAAATCAAATCTTTGATTTTATTTGATTATTCTACTATTTAAATTGATTTATTTTGCTTTAAATGAATAAAAAATCAAAATAAATAATAAAAATAATAAAATAATAGGTGGATAAGATTAGGGGTCGTGTGCCATCTTAGGAACAAGTTTCAAACAAGAAAACATGGGCCCATTTAGAAAAAAAGTCATTTTGATCAATGTTGACTTCATGCACATTTCCAAAATTTGGTCAACTTTGACAATACATATCTCCCTCAATTTTTACCCTAGAAAGGTGTTCTTGGATTTTTTAGAAAGCTTAGGATGTCCCCTAAACAACCCTTTTGGTTTCCTCTCAGTTGGGTCTTTCATGTTCATGTAAGAAGCTTTGATCCAAAATGTGTTTTTGTTGACTTTTCAAAAGGACATATAATGTAGAAATTCATATCTTTTGATGAGTGCATATTTTGAACTTATGGGATGAATATGAATTGTATGGAATTTCATCCTATTCAAAATGAGCCTTGGATAGAAAATTTCTGATAAAGTATGAAGAAGTTACGCTTGGTCAAAGTTTGGTTGACTTTTCCTATGAAACCCTAATTTAGCAACTTTTGGGTTTTGATGAATTTGGGGGCATTCCTTGAGGAATCATGATCAACCCTTGATAAAATGATGGATATCTCTTCAAAAGGTTGATGTTGACCAAAAATCTTGAAGTTTGACTATATGTGGGCCATAATTGACTTTTGACCTAGTACATTTAATTTTCAGGCATCTGAGCAGTTGACTGAGCAAACTTCTTGTGCAAGGCATGAAACTTGACATGGATGATCTTGAAAACATATTGGGACCATGGAAGGAATTTGGGACCTTTTTAGTTCAACCATCTTGATGAGGAGTGAAACCCTAGTTTGAAGCTTGTTGCCTTAGGAGGAAGATTTGTCTGGTCAATCCTTACTCATCCTTGAGCAATTGAGGACCTCTAGAGGCATGTCTTGAGTGAAATGAGAGGGAAAATTTTGGGGTACAACAGTTGTCCCTGTTCAATCTTCTTAAACCTGAGGATGTAGATTGGTTGTCTTCCTTTCGTAATCTGAAGGTGGAAGATGATTGAACACCTTAATGCCTAGAAATTTGCCCTCGTCTGAGATGGTGCTGGACTGTGTAGGTAGTATCGGGAATGGGCTTACAGATTCCATTTGGAGGAGATGACGGAAGGTCACCATATATGGGCTTAAAGATGCCATCCGGAAGATATGACGGAGAATCGACGGAGATGGGCTTAAAGATGCCATCTAGAGGATGTTGATTTCCCGAGATATTCCTTTGATGAGAATTCATGTTCCTGTCGGTGAGGAGGAATCTTCTGAGGAATGTTGGTCTCTGTCTTGGGAGAAATGGAATTTTAGGAACTTCAGCTGTCCGTTACTCTACTAGGGAATCATCTCTTAGTCGAAGAGATGAAAATGAACTGCTATATGGTCGTACTCCAGGCCTTACAATGATTTGCTGAGGATAATAAGACTGACTGCTATCTGGTCGTGCTCCAGGTTTTACAGTGACTTACTGGGGAGATGAGATTAAACTTGCTATCTAGTCGTGCTTCAGGCTTTACAATCTCAAAAACTGTTATTTGGTCGTGCTCCAGGCTTCAGAAGGAATTAAGTGGTTATTCAGTCGCATCCGGGTTTCAACTTAAATTTAAGGCATACTAACATCCGATCATTTCCAGGATTCAATAGTAATTGGCCGAGTAAACTGCTATATGGTCAAATTCCAAGCTTCGCAGTACCTTATACTGTTATCTGGTCGTGCTCTAGGTTTCACAGTGTCTCTTGCCGCTATCTGCTCGTGCTCCATACTTCACAGCGTCTTATACCATTATCTGGTCGTGCTCCAGGCTTCAGTAATTTGGGGGAATCAAGTTATTATCCGGTCAATTTCCGGGCTTCATAGCTTTTTTAACTGGAATATAAATCTTAGTATCGATTTGACTGAACCAGGGAAAGGTCTAGAGCTGTCTTCAACTGGGAGAGAAATCTTAGTATCGATTTGACTGAACAGGGGAGAGGTCTCGGATTAGCTTTGACTG